GTGGATACTACCAACTGCAGAAGCATTTTCAAACCTGTGAAGCCAGTTAGGTGTGCTATTAGCTTTAGTGAAAGGAAAACTTTCCCATAGCCTCAGTGAATGTGAAACTCTAGCTGTGCTGCTTCTATGTTATGAAGTTCACAACACTGCACTCACTGTGTTGTGTGAGAGTGCCCTCACATGTATTTAACACCCAACACCAGTCCACACATACTCTAACCAAGTTTGCTTTGCAATGGAGCAAAAACGTCACAGCAGAGGTTACCCAGGTAGCTGTGAATTAAAAATAAAAGAAAAAAGAAAAGAACATTTGAAACGGAATACAACCTCAGACGGAAACCAAATATCTGTTAAAACAGAGGCCATGGCTAAGATTGTTTACCACTTTGCTCAGCTGATTCTCTGTCATAAGCACGTTTTTTGTATGTGTATGTGCATTTATAACAGTAAATGCTGACTAAATATGGATCTATTCAATATCATAATATATGAGTAATATATGAGGATATTTTAACTCTTGTTCACAACTTCACAACAAGTTGGGTTATCTAGCTACAATTGTCCCTCTAAGAAGCTTTGAAAAAGAACAGACCATACGTAGTTTAGTCAAAGGTTTTGCCTGTACACATTATAAGGCTTGTTACCTAGCTACATCAATATTTGTGTAATTGACTAAAAGTAGACATGCCACAGTGCCTAAAGAAATGCAGTCTGGTTAACTAACTATGCACAGCAGTTCAACTGGCTTGAGGCTACCCCAGTCCAGAGCACAGGCTGCTGTTTTTCATTTGCCTACTGTATGTGCTAACTGTGTATCACATCCACACTATAGCTAAGTGGCAAGAACATAAAACACCCCATCTAATTAAAATACATCAAATGTGTTCACACATGCACAGACACTACAGTCATGCCAAGCCCAGGGCAGTCCCCTCCCTCTCTCTGTTAGCTTCTAAAGAAAGGTATTAGAACACCTCCGCTTATGTCCCTTCAACTCGCATACAGTGTGAAATTAAAAGTCTGAGTGGAGGTGTGACTCGCCTTTCCTTCTTGTTCTAAACCTACACAGCCACATACACGTCCATTGACGATGACAAGTGGAGACGTTTACCTGCTGCTGGGATGCGGTGCGCTCCGGGAACAGAAGACAGCCTCTGAATGCCGGGAGAGGCGTTACTTCCTGGGGCTCGCTGCTGGTTCTCCGAGTGGATACTGTGAGTTCCAAGTGGTGCGCAAGCGGCACCGTTCTGCTGCTGTGGATGTAGTTGCTGCTGCTGCTGCTGATGATGATGGTGGAGATGGTGGTGGTGGTTAGATACCATAACTGCGCTGCCGGTCATTCCATTGCCATTTCCAACACCGCACGACTGATAATATCCAGACCGTGAGCGAGATCGAGTCCTTGGAGGTTCCATGGTCATTTGGTGGGGGTGAAGGGGGTGGAAAAGAAAAGAGGAGGACGCTTCTGGGGACTGCGGCGGAGAGCCGTTGGTAGATCCGGGCTGTACAAAGCCCCTCGCGCCGCTCTGGCTGTAACTATAGCCCCCGAGTCCTCTGCCCCCCTCCGCGCCCCCGTACTCTATTCGCTCTGCAGACTCTGTCGCCCCCGCCTCGTCGAATAAATCAGCCCCTTTAGGGACAGGCTCCGGGGTGGAGGGCAGCCGGGGGCAAACTCGAGGCTCCTGAGTCGTTGGCTGTCCAGCGGCTGCGATTGGCATTTCCTTTCGGGGGATTTCCTTCGTTTCTTTTCCTTTTTTGTTCCCTGCGTTTTCCTCTCGTTCCCCTCAACGAAGCAGCTTTTACACACTGTTAAAATGACAAATTAATTGAGTTAGGAAGAGTTAAATCGAGTTGTGAGGTATTCTGTTAACACTGTACATCACAACATTCACCAAGCTGGACTACCTACACAAACAAGTCAAAGCCATCAGTTTCTTTTGACATGCACGTGTGTTGTAATTTTGAGTTAACTGGTAGTTTGGTACTAGAACTTTGCTATTTCATAAACTGGTTCATCAGCTTACATTGTGAATATTGTGAATATTTAAGTTTTCACTCGATTATACTGTTTGGGAATTAAAAATAATAATAATCTACGAGAATGTGACAGGGATATGATTCCTCTCCCGGCTCACCAGCAGCTTTAACTTCACAACAGCAACGACCACGGCTCGCTAGCTGACGGGAAGCTAGCGTTTGGGGGCGATGCTAACATTAGTGCGCATAGCACGCTGTGGTAAAGGCGTTATGATGCTTCTTCTAACTATATAACTACAGTGTTACCACACCAGCTCGCTTTCTCGGAATCCCAATTATCCTCGAACCGACTTTAAAACAACTTTCGCCACTTTAACCCACATTTAAACTTGTTTAGCCAGCCTGCGTAATGTCGTTCGCTAGCTTGGCAAGCCATACCAACCCCTCCTCCTCTACCGACCAACACAGAGAAAAATCCCATAGCTAGCCACCCACGCCTCGAAGCGCTTTAAAATATTTGGTTAATAGTAAGAAAACAAAACGGTGTTGAGTATAAACTTATTCGTGTGATTTCGCTGCGTTGGGATGAGCCGGTAGAGCTTTCCCGGTTGTATGGAAGCAAACAGCAAAGCGCAGACAGAAACATTAAAAGTGGCCGGTCTAAAATTACAAAGAAAGAACCACGGCTAAAATTAACAGGATCTTAAGGAATGACCCCGCCTCTGTGTCTAACGCTGAAACCGGGTCTATTTCCCCTGCTCTGAGTTTTTTTTTTTTTAACAACTTACCTTCAACGCGCTCTCCCCGACTGTACTCCCAACTCGGATCTGTCGATAATATTGCGAGCCCTGTCTGTGAGAGTGTATGAACGCGAGTGTGTGAGCCCAGTGTTCGCTCGGTGTCAGCGTGAAATGTGACAGACCGTCAACGCTCAAGTCGGATTTCACCAGACCGGATCAATCGACGACAGAAAACAGAGTGCATTTGTAGTTGCTTCCCCCAGACACAATGCTGGTTAAGTCACCGATGGCAAAAAACACAGACAAATGACTAAAACTGTTAATGTTAGTTTGTTTTTATAAATACAATTTTAAAATCCGGACTTTACCGGTGAAACGAACCAGTTTAAGCTCGGCAATCTATTAGTAGGGCTGTTAAATCAGAAGCCGTGGATAGCAGAGAGGCAGACTAAAAGGGGCTTTAAATTATTTATTTACAAATACCAAGCCTGCCCATTGCAGCTGTTTCCTTTGGAGTCGAAAGTTCGCTTTAAAAATAAGTATTTGCTGTGTTTGCAGAAGTTACTTGAGCTACAAAATTACAGTAGCGAGAAAAAAAATAACTAGAACGTTATTAAATAGTGACAAACATAGAAAAATAGGGGGGGGCAGATTATTCAGCCGTAATCTAAAATAAATTAGGCCACTAGGATAAATGAAGTGGCTGTGTTTATCAGATCTGGGCCAAAGTTTTCACGTCTAAAAAGGGGTTTTGCATGTTTTCTCATAAGCTGGAGAAAAACGTGATTGAATGTTAAAACAAACAAACAGCTGCAGAAGCTTGAGACCATTATACCTTTTTTTGAAAAATGTTCAATGGTGCCGTGTCAAAGGTCAAGAACATGCCCTGTTTGAAATATTTACGAAAACTACTGTTACTGTGTGTGTGTTGGGGGGGTATGGGAGCAAGAAGGATGATATGTGAGAGGAAAACTGTACGTGGTTTCTGATTGTCCTCTCATTCTCAGACACCCACACACACACACACACACACACACACACACACACACACACAC